GCGTTCTGTGGCATATTTCCTCTGGGATATGCTCCCCAGTGTACCTTGGTATTCCTGTGTTAAGTAGGACTCCTCGTCCGTGCTAGAATTCACGACAGGGGATCAGACTTTCACAGGGCACTGCTGTGAAGGTGTCGTGATTACACGGGGGACCCCTATTCTCCGTCATCCGATGTAACTCGGAGTGACTACGAAAGGGAACGCCTGTTCCCTGAGTAGGGAACGGAGACGTTACGTTACTGTCTGCCACTTCCGCTGTACCGCTGGGTAGACGCCTGAGTTCAGTCTCGTCTCCTCAGCGAAGACATACTTCGGTTGCATTTGCTTCCTCCTTTTATAGTCACGAGGTGAGGCGGAGTTACGCTATGCAAATTCCGCAGACCCATGGCATTTTCTTGCCGTTGGCTCGTTTTTTAATACTCGAAGAGGATTGGCTTTCTAGGCGAAACCCCCATTCTCCGTCATCCGACGTAACGTCTCCGTTCCCTACTCAGGGAACGAGGGTTACATATGTAACCGAGACGGGTTTTTTTTATAGCTGAATTACTGCTGCATGCAAAAGTGGTCAGGTTTGAATCCAGCTTTATATTTTCTGGTCAAACAAATAAACAAACAGAAAAGCATGTTTCTAAAATTGCATTTCCTTTCATCCGGAGTTTTTCTCAAATTTCTTATTGTGGGTGTAATCAGTATATTTTCATCTCATCCACGTCCCACATTTTTTGGTAGGCACGGATAACGAGGGAAAAACTATAAAAAGACTCAGACTGAAAAACAATACTTTCATTATGGTTTAATGTGCTGGGGCTCTGGGGCTGTACTCAACCTCCACATGAAAACTAAAGATTATTAGCTGGGTACTCCACAAGATCAGACTTAAATGCTGTTGTGGTTTGCTACTGTTAGGACTCTTGCCCTGCTTAAGTGCACAATTTGTTGCTTAAATTGATATATAAATTGTATTCACTTTTTCTGGAAAACTCTCATATTAAGGTTGAGGCAAACATAACAGACTCTTAGGATTTCAGAGTACAAAAATGCACCAAACAGAACAACCACAAAAAGGATCAAATCAGACAAATAAAGATAACCAAGCCAATATTCTGCCAAATTCTAGCCTTCAGGCAATCCTAGGTAAAGTCCTGCTTATCTTAATGGTTCTAGAGATTATCTTATCAGATTTTCATAATCTGCTTGCAAGAATGTCGAGACTCGCCTGGGCCTACCAGACTCTTGTACATTTTATTTGTAGTGTCTGGCCACTCTCTGTGCTGTCTTGGTCACATTGTGGGACAACACACACAATCTTGTGTACATGCCAAGGGTAATCAAAGGGAGGGAACCATGGAAAATAATGCAATCATGAAAACCAAGGAAATCGAGGGCTACAATCGAGGCCTACACTTTTACAGAGGCTTAAAAGTGTAGGCCTCGATAATTCGGCTGTCAGTTGGTTTAAAAATAATTTATCGGATAGAACTCAATTCGTTGCTGTAGATAATTTCACCTCATCCATGGTAATAGTCAGGAAGGGTGTCCCGCAAGGTTCTTTACTGGGACCACTTTTTTCTACTGACAGGGAATACTTTTGGCAAAGCTACATTTTTATGCTGATGATACAATACTCCACTGCATCCTCTATATCTCAGGCTATTGGAATTCTTAAGGATTCTTTTTATATGTTTCAGCTTACTTTGTTGAATCTGAAATTAGTTTTAAATGTAAATAAAACAAAGTATATTATTTTTATATAGCTGTTCTGTGTCTACTGCTGTGACTATTGAGGGTTTACAACCAACTAATAGATATCTAGGAATATGGCTCGATGAGAAGTTAGCCTTTGATGTTCACATTAATTACTTGGTGAAAAGGCTTAAACCAAGACTGGGTCTTCTTTTTCGGAAGAAAAAAAAAAAAAAAAAAAAAAAAAAAAACGTTTTTACTTTACAGCTAGAAAGAGAATAATACAGAGTACTATTTTACCTATTTTAGACTATGGTGATGTTGTTTTGCATGCTTCTACATGTCTATTGAAAAGGCTGGATGGTGTATGTCATGCTGCACTGCTTTATAACAAAAAATACATACTCATTGTTTGCTGTACAACTATTTGGGTTGGTCCTCTTTATATCAAAGAAGGAAATCCCTTATGATAGTATATATTGTAAAGACATTGATGGGTATGCTTCCAAATTACAGTACTAGTCTTCTATGTTTATGTAGAAAGAACTATAGCACTAGATCATCTAATGGGATTAAATTAGTAGTACCCAAGGTACATTCAGAGCATGGAAAATCATCTTTCTCATTCTATGCTACATGGCTGTGGAATGAATTTTAAGCTTCTGTCCCTCTAGAAACAATTCCTTCTCTGAATGTATTTAAAAATTTACTGCAGTCTACAATGATGAATCATGTTGTTGTTTTACTTGATTTATGATGAATATTGTGCTCGGACTTTCTGGAATGTTTGATATGTGTTGTGTGTTTGTGTGTGTGTTTTGTAATGTGTCAATCTTGGACAGGACTTCCTGAAGGAAGAGATTTCTTTTAATCTCAATGGGACCTTCCTTGAAAAATAAAGGAAATAAATAAATAAATTATGGCTAATTTACCAGGCGCACGCCAGGAGTGGTTCACAACCGAGGAGACCGACGTTCTTATCAGGGCATTGAAAGTGACGTTGTATGGGGATGGGATATTTTTTTTTTTTTTTTTTCCTGGTTCTTGACAGGCAAACTAATTTGTCAGATGTCCTTATATACATATGTGTCTTGCCACTATTGGGCTAACAGGTCTGATCCGTCATTACTACAGTTAGCCAATTTGGGTAAACATATGAGCTAGATTTAGACCTACATTTTTTTACATCTTCATGTACATCACAATGATTTCCCTCATGTGTTAATATTTTTCCTTGTTATAATGTATGTTTTGCAAAAATAACTGAAAAAAAAAAAAAAAACCTGCTGCATCTGTGTTAATGAGAGAATCAAAGTGTATGTGCGTTGTGCACCCACTATATTATGGGCCAGCATGCACACTTAAAATAGCATTATGAGCAACTTGCCACTGACTTTAGACTCGTTTTTTTCTTGTTAGTGGCGGAATTGTTTTCTGGAACCGCAAAATAGCAGTAGGGAATGTTTGCACCGAGACACGCCTCCTTTTCATTTTAATTCATTTCCTAGTTTACCAACGTGTGTCTGTGGAGGGAAAAGTCCGGTTTGCGTGGGTGCAAAATAAGAATGATACATGCGTCAGTGTATGAAGTCATTTGCACTGGGTGCAAATATAGGGCCCATGATGTGACAAGAAGTTTATCATTTATGCAGAGAATATTTTTGGGCTGCTGTCTATGTTTGTATGTTTGTTTCAGTCTATGTTGTGTGATTCATCCGAATTCTGTGTGTGTCTGCATCTACTGCATGTCTGTGTTTGACAATATATGTGTGGGCCGATATTCCCCAGTTCACACTTTGACCTATTAGATTCACATTAAACAAAATAAACAAACAAACACAAGACCTTTGAAGCTGTATCAGTGGTATTAATACTAATATAATTACCTTTGCAATGCCATACCTTAAACCTAACCCTGACACAAACTTGTCTTGACATTATTAGATGTGAGGCTAAAAATGATTTGTCCATTTTAGGCTTTTCAAATATTAAGGGCCACTTCAAATGTCAGCTTTGTAATATTTGTGAAGAAATTTAGCAATTTTCATTTTCGGTTAATTTGGCTCTTTTATTTGTTTTCTTCTCCTAGTTTCACATCCTCTGACAGTAATGTACATTGGTGTTCAATAGTAGGTCATGTCCACTGAAAATATGAGTTTGTGTGTGTGCCATATTCACCCTTGGATTTTGTATCAATTAACTAGGCAGGAATCTAGTTTGAATAACAGACCACTGACTATTGGTTTACCTTAACAGACATTGATTCCTCAGCTGACCTGCACCACACCGCTCAACAGAATGCTACTGGTGTGGAGTAAGAACAGCTCAGTGTAAAAGAAAAAGAACTCTGCTAATGTTTAATTAACACATTAATCAAGCATCAACAATCAGTTGAAGATGGAGCTAAAACAGCACTATTTTAGCTGTATACCAGAAAAAAGAAATAATGCAATTAAACAAGGTTGGATATTCATTCAAACCTGAGACTTTAAATAGTTCACCCTCACATTCTGCATAGATTGGTAGATGATGTTACCCTATGCTACTTTTGACAAGTTGAAGATCTGTACAGGTGTTGTATGTATGCATGCTAGACAGCTTGTGGTTTATTAGCTTATTTTTGACATTTTCATGCCAAGTCATTTGCATACCTCCTGTCTTTCACAGAAATGTCAAAGCTACTCCTTAACCACCATATGCTTTACATCCAACCAAGAAAATAAAAGTCTTTTTTCCCCTTTTTTAAAAATCTCAAAAAAAAAAGTTGAAGTGGTTTATCAGCTAAGCAGCCTAACGATAAAACTAGCATATAGTGCCTGACAGCTAAAATAGCAGATCTCTTCAGTCCCTGAAGGCATTTGCTAGAAATTTCCTAAGATACTTTTGAGAGCAAATTAGAATGCATGCTTAATGCTCTTTGTATAGCCATTTTAATTTATTTATTCTAATTCTGCTTGATTTAAAAACTAAAAAAATAAATAATCATGTCTGAAAGACTTTAATTGGTTGAAATAAGCAAGGATTGTTTTCGGATTATTATAAACTGTGTCTTACTGACAATCAATAGGTCTACATCATAATGGATTCAAAAAGCAAAGCAAATTGCTTGATATTGGTGTGAGCACTAAGTGGGCAAACATCTTTCATGGATAAACATTTCAAAAGGAGGAAGATCAGCTAATTAATTATGCAGCTGTGATTGTCAAAGATAAAAGTGAGATTGGTGTTTCAAGTTTGTGTAATTAATTCTTTTCCACTTTAGGGTTTATTCATCAGTTAGTGCTGATAACGTCTCTCTCTCTCTCTGCCTCTGTTAGTGTGGATTTGGTTCACGCACAGCTGCGTGTGTGTGAGGGCCGCAGTCTTCCTGAGTTGGGTCTTGAACAGGACAAGATCCGGATCAATGGCTGTGCCATTCAGTGCCGGGTCACTACAGAAGACCCCTCCCGTGGTTTTCAACCAGACACAGGTCGCATAGAGGTATGCCTGCTAAATGACATCGCAATTATGCAAATTACAGTGACATCTCTCCAATTAATAATACAAGACGTGTATTACTACCTTTATAATATATAATAAAATGAATGTGTTTAATGCCCAAATGTATTTTTTGGGGGGCTGTTTTATAACAGTTTTTGTCCAGAAACCAAGCTACAATCTGGCCATTAAAGTGGCCATACTCATTTATCTGGATGTCTCTCTGCACTCTGCATTCATACTCACTGGGCATTATCTTGATGAGTCATCGAACAGTGAGCTTTGATTGAAAGTGATTTTCAGGGAGCGCTCTTATTTAGTTGAAAGAGGGGACGACTAGCCCTCCACACTGCTCAGTTTTGTTCCAGTGACAACATTTTAATGTTACTAAGAAAACCATCACATAGCAGAAAAAGCCCCATCCATGTGTGCTGGGTGCTGCTATAAACTGCACTTAGATCTCTTCTTATTTACGGAGAAATCTTACATTGATGCCATTTTATGGACTGATCCTCTCAGCATGTTCTTCATTGCTTGTGTATTGATTTGGAGAATTTTTACTTCACTCAAATGCTATTCGGACGAAATATTCTTATTCAATTACGTTAGTAATAATAATGATTAAGTTCGACTCAGGTCATTTATACCATTAGAATACAGTACAGTACTTGTCATCATGCAGGGCATGATGACTGAAATCTTTCTTTTCTATTACTAAAAGCCAATTAAAGCATGTTCCTGGGTATTTTATTTGACTTTTAATTTAATATTCAACAATAATATTGATCTGCCTGCCTTGAGACTGACATTTACATTATTTGAAGAGTTTGGTTCCAAAACGCTATAAATCCATTTAGATGAATTTGAGTAAAACTGTGTTTTCTTTAGCAAAATGGGAAGATGAAAACCACTATTTTCGGTTTCAAATTTTCACATAGCATTTGTAGGTTATAATAACAATAAAAAATGAAATCCAGGTTTTGATTTCCAACGATTTATTATAAAAACAGATAGTTTTTTTCCCCAAAATGCAATAAATCCAATCATTTATTTATTTTTTTTTCAAAATGCAATTAATCAAAATAAAATTTTATACACATTGAATTTCTTGTGCATACTATAAATCCATTGCTTTAATATAACAATATTCGGTAACACTTTAAGGGTACATGTCATGAATTATCATGAATTCATGGATAAATGAATCATGCATGAATTATGCATTCATTCATATTAATATCATCAGGAACTAACAACGTTTTTTTAACAGTTCAACGTTTTTCATTCATGACTTCATGGATGAACAAAACCTTAATTGAAACATTAACTAAGATGAGCACATCATCAAGAATTATGATTTATTAAGCATGATCTAACGTTATGCATATCGCTGTTGTCAACCTTGGGACGTCGCCGCTGAACTTTTTTGACGTAAAATGGCTTGATCCTGCTCGGTTTTCGTTGACTTTGAATAAAACAACTGAAAGTTTTCCAAAAGATCCTCTGGGGGTCAGTGTGTCAGCGTGACAGAAGTTTGATGCTGTAGTGTGAGAACAAGCAACAGCCAGCATTTCCTCCTCCCGTGTCCATCTTCTTCCTCACGTAAATGATTCGATTTCGATGTCACGTTTATTCGTGCAGGATGCCTTACCCTCCGCAGGTTCACCAATGCTGTCAAAATTATTCATTTTTTTGTTTGTTTGTTGATCGAAAGGACAAAATAGAGAAAACCTTGGAAGCCGGGTTAGTTAAAGCGCTGCCGTTACTGTTTACATTGCGTGGAATGGTGCGTTGTGATTAGTTTAGCGGATATGTGGCATTTTGCAGAAAAGGGAGACTGGCGTTTGTCGCGGTTTGGAAAGAAAGGGAGAAAACATTACATAATAACACGGCAGATATCCCATTTTACGTAAAATTAAACATTGTTTTGTATCTGGTCAGTAAAAGTCAGAAAAATCTGAAAAGTCAGATTTTTGCAGTAACTAATTTTTTATTTTTTTTTTAATGGTGTTTATCGCGTTTTGGAACCAAACTCTTCATTTGACATTTTTCCAGCCACCTGATGGAGTTTTGGTTCCTTGCCACTGTCGCCTTTTTTCACATTTGTTGCCATTGGCTTTTGGCTTGCTTTGTTGGGGACATTAAATTTAACATTTAATTTAATATTCAACAATAATATTGAACTGAACTGAGCTGGACATCACGGTTTTCTCCATAGCAGCTATATATATATATATATATATATATATATATATATACATTCTTCATAGGCAAGGATTTTGCTGAAGTTCCTATAAGTATTATTTCACATTGTCATAGTACTTATAAATACTAGCCCTATCGATCTAAGCACACAAGTGCACTTAGGGCGTGTACGAATCCACTTTTGCTCATTTAATGACGGGGAAAATGGTTGGTGCGCACGACACATGGTCTAAAGGTGATGATACACAGGACAACTTTTGAGCAATGTTGCTTTAACGGGCAACCAGACACACACAGGGCCCAGATTGAAATGTATTGCCCATTTTCAATAGGAAAGTACCCAAGCAACAGTCGCTTTGCAAGGTTTTCCAGCAACATTGCTCAAAAAGTTGTCCTGTGTATCATCGCCTTCAAAGGGTTGTCCCTAAATGAGTAATGGGTGTGTTTGGGGCTTTATGTGCAATAAACCAATCAGAGTCTCAACCCCCATTCCCTTTAAATGCCAGTCGCGCTTGCGCCATGGCAGATTGCTATTTACACAGCGGAATATGCAAGCGGAAAAGACAGCCCGCTTCTACAGAGAGCAAATGGATCTGCATGTGCACGAGGTTAAAGCACGCAAGCAGACTATGTACAGGACAAGCCAGACTCCAACATAGTATGTACAATAATAATAATATATAATAATTAATAATAATCTTTTACATTGTAATCCTTTTATTTTTAATATATAGCATGTTTGTGTGTTGCTGCGGTTCCCTGTGTGTGTGATAAGTAGAGTGTGGAGGGTGTTAGACCCACCTATAGGTGCACATTACTAACGTGCTCTTTAAATAACACACACACACACACACACACACACACACAAAATGTGCAATTAACTTTAGACCTGGTTTCAGTTTCAGTCTATTGCTGTTGCTTCAAAATAGCAACACAGGGGTTATCGCTATGGTCTCCCTGCCTATGCTAGGCTGCATGGATGGGCAGGGAGTTCCAAACTATATTCTATTTGTCAATCATCATTGACAGCAGTGGTCCTGACAGAAACAACTTTGTTCATGCCTTTTCTTTACAAAATTTTTACTGCATGACTTCAAGAAATCCTGCCAATCAAGGTTTTGGGCTGGCACAAGCTGTTAGTAAATCTGGCTCTTAGTTGTCAAATACTTTTTTGTCATTCATGCACATTGGAACTGAAGGTGGAAAAAAAGAAAAAGAAAAAAAATCCACAGTTTTGTATTTGTGACAGGCAAACTCAAGCACCACATGAGTTCTGTATCTGTTATTACACCAGGCTAAAGACAAAAACTAAAGATTTTAGGCAGGAAAGATGCAAGAAGTAATGGGAAATACAGTAGATGAGTCAGAGAGACACTCTGGTCTAACTTCCTAAACCTTTGCAAACACTAATGCTATTTTGATACTTCAAATAGTATCCAAGTCAGGGATAGAATATGAACAATTAAATGTGTGGCTACATAACTTTAAAGTAAGTTTTTCAACACTTGGGATGGGAATTTTTAGGTGGTCATGATTAGATTTTGAACCAGGAAGTCACGATGTTATACAAAATATAACACCCTATACCATACAAAAAAAAAAAAAAAAAAAAAAAAAAAAAAACAGATTCTAGAAGGTTTAAAGATTTTTAATAAAGTCTAAAAATATGTCTTCATTGGCCTGCCAAGCTTTCGATTTTACACAATCGCATTCTCAACTTCTAACTGATCTGATAAACAAATTATTTCATGCATTAACAATTATGTTATATTGTAATACATATATAGGGCCCTACCATACACACATTTGCGGCAACTTGTGTGCCCATGGGCGTGCTGGTCTGAAAACAAGGTGTGTTCAGGGGCATTGTTGGGTAAACAAAACCCAACATAAATGTATTGCAGATATCATTAATGTTCAATAATTAAATGTGTTGCACAACATCATTTAAGAAAAATGAGTCTAATTCAAAGAGAAATATCAGAAGGCCAAGTCCTGACGGGACGAGAGGAGGAACTGGGGATGGAGGAGGGCAATTAGCTCCTGAGCAACCCAATAAAGCTTGAGATAATACTGCAGAAGTTGTTACTGAGCACATTTTTGTGACCTTATATAGGAATGTTGTGATAGGAGACATCTATAACAGCATTACTAAATATAAGGTCTCAAAAATGTACTCCCAGCTGATTCAAGCTTGACTGACGTGACCTTCCAGAACTAACACTACTCTTGATTTTAGCTGCTGACATAATTGCATCTGTTGGAGTTTTCATTTCAGATGCAAACAATTATGGCAGAAGAATATTTAAAATAAATCACACAATATTTGCTGTAGTCAATATACTGGTGTCTGACCCATCAGTCTTAAAAACATGTCTTAACATTTTACATTGGCTATGATAGTTGCTGCTGAAGGAGGCACTGCAGAGCGTGTGCTAGAAGGAAGAGAATACTCTCCATTTGTGTGAATTTATTTGGAAGTGGAAGACAATTCCCGAACATAGTGTTTGCCAAGTCATGTTATTTTTAATTTTCTGCACCAGTATTGTTAGTAGATTACCCGCACCTGATAATCATCGACTCTGCTTGTTTGAGACCCTACACTCATTTACACTGCTTGTAGATTGTGTTGGTCATTATGGAAATTAGCTGCTGCATCCATGTTAACAAATATGCACATTGTCAGTTTCCACTCCCATCTGCGCTTTTTTGGATTGCAAATGTGTAGTAAATGTAAATGTTTTTTTTTAGTTACAGTAGTTAGATGTGTGAAATACCTTTGTTTATCCTAAATTGAT